GAGAGAGAGAGAGAGAGAGAGGATTCCCCTGGCCGGGTTAATGAGTTCCCACATCATTTCTATGTTCGGATTTCTCTTTCTCACCTACGCTGCTACGCATTCGCACTTGCAAGCACACGCACACATAGACTTAGAGAGAGAGAGAGAGAGAGAGAGAGAGAGAGAGAGAGAGAGAGAGAGAGAGAGAGAGAGAGAGAGATTTCCTTTTCTTCTTTCTTCTTATTCCTTGCTGCTGTGATTACCTCGTCTTCATTCTCCTTGCCTCTTCTTCTTTCTTCCTCTTTCTTTCCTCTTTCTTTCCTCTTTCTTTCCTCTTCCTTTGCTCTTTTTCGTTTTTATTATTATTTCTTCTTTCTCTGTTCTTTCTTTCTTCTTTGCTCCTTCTCCTTCCTTCTCCTCCTCCTCCTCGTCGGCCTCGTCCTCTTCCTCTTCCTCGCTGTTCTTTACTTCCTAGGAGTTCCTCCATTCTTTTCTTACCCAGTCAAATTTTTAGATCACGGTGTGGCACCGTTAGCACGATCATAAGATCTAAATGAATAAGCCACTGGATACTGAGACCATTGCCCACGGCTACGGTGGGACAATTTGGTGTTTTGTTTAGACTTTTGGGACAATTTGGTGTTTTGTTTAGACTTTTGGGACAACGATGTATAATTTTATCCTGTTTTAATTTTTTGACTAATAAAATTAATAATGAGGGATAATTCCTCAGCATTCCCAGGTAAAAAAAGGGTGCGTCGGACCGTTCGTCGGTCAATGACATGTTTCAACGCCCCACCCAGTGTCGTAGTCAAGGCTACTAAGGTATATGGTCAGCGGGGTGTTTTTTTTTTTTTTTTTTTTTATGTTGTTGTGTGGTGCGATGGACAACGGATCAGATATTGAACTGATCAGAACAGATACACTGCACTTGATCTATCTTAGCCAAAAGGCCGAGAGAGGAAAGGAATTTGGGGAGGAAAAAAAAGGCCGAGAAAGGTATCGGTGTGGTTATGCCACTCAGGGAGTACGACGGAAGACCACTCAGACGGTCAAATAATTTGAAATTAAGGAGCATAAAATTCTACAATATTCTTCTCTTTTTATGCGTGTCATCCTTGCGCCGAAGCCATGCTTATCTTCTCTGTATCGCTCCAATTTTAAGGGCTGTCCCGACGGACAAAATTGTAAGATAAGTATTTGTTTGGTTTAGTTGATTGTGTGTGATTGATTACTTGCCGTACTCAGTAATACGATACAACGTTTACCTCGGGGCGATTATGAGCTCCACATACATATAGAGTGGTGTTTAGTGGAAGAAGGCCCATGGTACACACTCGTGGCATCTCCAATTATACTGTGAGTGACACTGTATTCTATCCGATGAACCATGCTCTTCTTGAATTGCCGAGTTGCCCTCAACCAGGGCCAGCGGCTTACATAGGCAGGAGCTGAGCGACTTGGTTCATAATATGGCCAAGGCCCAAGAGAGGGTGCTGGATTGATTCCGTGCGGTTTCAGTGATGGAACCCGAGGCAAAGGACTGATGTAATCATGCCTTGCCCACCCTTCTGGCCCCCTTTGCCGGTCGCATTTCTTCCCTCTGGTTGAGGCATTTCGACCCCCAAACTCCGATGCTTCTAGCTTTCTAGCCTTCTACTGTTCTGTTTTGTAATATAAAGTGGGAGGCCCCTTACAGCTCTAAATGATTTTGCTATGGGTATCCATATAAATGATATGCTTTTATAAGTATTCACTGTTCAGCAGTGCCCATCCCGTGAACTTGACCGGTCACTTGAACGTGACCGGCCGTTCACGGTGAACAGGACGACCACTAAAGAGTGGTGTTCTTTTTTTTTTTTTTTTTTTTTTTTTGGGGCTCCCCCTGGTACATTCGCCTCAAGCACCACAGGGTGGTGACATTGAAAAAATAAAAAAAATCGAAATGACCTACAAAATAGCAAACGAAAATGCTTATTTTGGCTGGTTGATTTTTTTTTTTTCGTTTTTAATTAAAAAAAATATTATTAGTGAAAAAAAAAATTGAAAAAATTATAGGGAGTTACCCTTCGATGTCCCCCACCCTCCTATAAAAAAAAAACATACCCCCCCAACCAAAAAAAGAAAACAAAAAAAAAATCGCTCTCCGTGAACTCCATGAACTCCCATGTCGTGAACTCCGTGAACTCTATGACCGGCTCCGTTCACAGACCCCGTGAACGGTGAATGGGGGTACGGCACTGCTGCTCAGATCTCGAACTCATGATCTCATTATTAACAGTTAAATCTAAAACTATGTACCCTTCCGCCACCTGACTCGGTACAAATGAGCCCAGTTCTGCTTGGATCTATTTGCATATGATTTCTTGTGTTCTAAGTGGATCCGCTCTTTGCGCATTTACTTGGCAGAAATCTTCTCTTCAGGAGTCTCAGCTGTGATGATTCGGCTCAAGCCTAACAAGGAGTGGAACTGGGTCACAGGAACACCCAGTCATTCTATCCCTTAGGACAATAAGATGGCTAACTTTTTTTTTTTTTTTTTTTTTTTCCCCCGGGGTTGATGGCTCCGTTCTATTGGTGGGGGGAGCTGACGTGCTGGAAACGGGGTCCAGCGTCCGTTTAATAACATTTTCAAGGAACACAGATTTCAAAAAAAAAAATCAGCAAAAGATGCCTGACTGGCATCTGCCAATCCTCACCTTCAACGGCGTATTAAACGAAATGGAACAATCCCTGTGTTGTTTTGAAGTTTTGATGGCTAGTTTTTTTGGTTGCATATTTTCCATAGTTGCATGTAGCATGATAGGTAGGTCATTTGCAAATAGACAACGTATATAAGAATGACCTGTCATGGTATGGTGGAGAATTTGATTTTTTGAAGGTTCTTTTGAACCTCAGGCTGATGGTTAGAGTCTCCATAACAATAAAAAAAAACAAAAATGCTATGTTGTGACGAACCATTTTCTGTAATCGCGCGACTTTCTGCACGAAGCTGCCTTGGGGAAACAGGATGGGTCGGATGGGTAAGCCGTGGAGAGATGGGTCAGTCGGGCAAGTTGCATCGACACCCTCGTCTCTTTTTGTTTTCTGTGGGAATCTGTCGGGTCGATGTC